CAGGAATCATATAGTCGGGAGAAAATCAAACATGTTTGAAATTCAGTCGGCCGACGAAAGGTTGCACAGTGTGAAAACATGCATCGTGAGCTGTAAACTTTTTAATCCTGCGGTCTCCTCGTACAGTGTGAGCTGTAGATGTGTGCAATGATTGAAAATATCGCACAGTGTATGCCCAGCTTAAGATGTCAGAAAAAATCCTGGGAGATTTTACTCATTAGTTATATCCTTCTTCAGTGCTGTTACTACAAATGAATCAACAGCACATACAGGTTGCAAATCTCCAGTATAAATACACCAAAAGTTCTCTATTTGGCAAAGATCTGGTGACTGTGAACGTCATTTGTGCACAGTGAACTTGTTTTTATCTTTACGACCTAATTTTAAGATAATTTTATCTTTGTGACACTGTGCAAGAGCTTACTGAAAGTAGACATCAGAAGACGGGTACACTGTGGTTGTTAAAGAATGAACAAGATCAGCAGCAATTTTTTTTTATGCCAACATGGTACTAAGAGACAAAAAAGTGTGTTAAGTAAACACCACCAGCAGGAACCATTGTACAAAGACAGGATTGATGCATGCTTCCATATTCAGATTCTACCACATGATCAGGTGAGGTGACGACTCACTAGAACAGTCAAACTATTTGATTATTCGTTGTGTGTCGTGACCTTAATTTCCTTTTGTAGCACATCATCTTTAAAAGACTGTTATATTTTCAGACTGGAAAAAAAACAATCATCAGGTATGTTATAACTATAGACTTTTAAACAGTGCAAACAAATGAAACTATATTAAATGTTTTACTTATCCATTTTGCCAAAGTATTTTAAAATAAAAAATTGGTATATTTAATAGTGATTTTACTTTGACAGTTCATTTTACTTCAACTGCTCTTTAAAAGTTTTTTTTTTTGTTGTGTCTTTTTTTTAATACAGCCTTGTTAAAAATAAGATATGTCTACATATCAGTCAGGGAAGCTGTAGGAGGAAAAGGCTCTCTAATCAGCCGATGTGTAAGACAGGACATCCCTGTTAATAAATCAGGGTTTTATGGTCTGTACTGTGTTCCTAACCTTCTGCCCCTCTTTCTGTGATCAGGACCTCTTAAGCAGCACCTAGGGGCCCTTGCTGACCCACTCCCTCAAGCTAAAGGCACCTCTGGTTTTGGAAGAATGACATGAAAATCAACAGATAGTTCTGACCTGGTCTTTATCAAGTATTTCAGTTTCAGTAAATTATCTCCACAGATCCTTGAGAAACGGTTTTATATCTGTCTTTCAACATGCTGAGATTTAAACAGTGACTGTTGAAAATAATGCTTTTTCTTTTTCTTTTTTTTTTTTTTTACCAATGCCTTCTATCTCATTGTGTTTCTATCAGTGGAAGTCACAGACTGTATTTGTAAAGTACAGTTTATGTTATTTTTCTTTTATAGTTGCCTGAGGGAACCAAAACTTTTATAACTCTAATTGGGGAAGCTATAAAACTTATCTTCTAAACAGCCCCCACAATAAAAGAAAAAAAAGAAGCTTCCTTTCTATTTTTGTGTGTTGTAAGAGGCATTTGTCCCCAGGAGTAGTGGTGATAACAGAGAAGAACATCATGTTATGACATTCAAAACCACAGATACACCTACAGCTGTGATCCCAGGCAGTCCAAACCGGTTCCAGTAAATCAGCCAGCTTTTAAACTATGTCGCGCAATTCTGTTTATGTGGACTTTAATAAGAAGTTTTTTAAATGGCCACAAAAGAACTATAATCTGTGATTTCAGATTTTAATATTTTCTTATTGGCTAAAAAAAAAAAAAAAACTGGGTAAGTCTTTTCTTTTTTTTTCCATTGTCCTCAATCAAAAATCGTTGATATATATATATATATATATATATATATATATATATATATATATATATATATATATATATATAAAATTTTGTTTTTGTTTTTTTCTGGGTGTAAATATACGGAGCCCCTCTGATGACATGGTCAAAAAAAATGTTTAATTGTGGCCACGAAGTAGTATTTCGTGCGCACGAAATACTACTTCGTGGCCACGCAATAAGTATAACGTGCGCACGAAATACTTATTAATAATATTAATATCATTCCTGGACAACTGGGTAAGCAAATCGAGCGCACCTTAGACCTTAGAGAAGGCGCGCTCGATTTGCTTACCCAGCTGTCCAGGAATAATATTAATATTATTAATAAGTATTTCATGCGCACGTTAAACTTATTGCGTGGCCACGAAGTAGTATTTCGTGCGCACGTTAAACTTATTGCGTGGCCACGAAGTAGTATTTCGTGGCCACAATTACAATTTTTTTTTGACCATGTCATCAGAGGGGCTCCGTATAAATATGACATTTTTTGTAATAATATTTCATTGTCAATGTTAAATAGAAATGCTAAAACGAAACTTTCATGGGTGATATTGGATCAGTTCAATCAGTTTGTCTGTGATAAAGATATTTGAGGGGGGTTACCAAAAGTTTTGTTAGTTTTCCCAGATAGATTTCATCCAAATTTTATACTATAGACAAATCGAAATAGAATGTTTCACCAGATACAAAATCAGCTTTCTTCCACAGCTAGCTCTGTGTTCAGAACTTTAAAAGTAATTTAAAGGGAAAATAGCATAGCAAAGGAATTTGTATTTCAGGTGATCTAGAGAAACTGCGCAGACAGGAATGGTTAAGCATATCTCTCTGGGCATAAATCCACCATGTTAATTGCTATAGGAGAAGACTAAGGTCCTAGTCTTTAAAAATTGTCGATAGGAAGTACTTAATTGCTGCAAAATAATAAAACACAAAGCAAATGAAATTGGTGGCCATTTTGCAGGTGACTTACAAAGACTGCACCCACCATAGATAACAGGCACAGAACATGTCCAGTACGCCCTATTTAAAATAGAAAATTGCCTAAGCTTCTAGCAATTTGGGAGAACAGAGTGGTTGTAAAGGAAAGGCAAAGTTTGAAGACATGCAGTGTTACTTGCTTGAATATGTACAACACACTAATATATATGTATCTGAAAGTGATACAAATAAAAGCAACATTTACCAACACTAGAATAACGAAAGTCATGTAAAAAAAAAATGTTTATAATTATTCATAAAACTTTGAAAAGCTGACTTTGCTGCTTTACCCCCACCCCTGTCATTAGTCCAAAAAGCAGCAACCAGCAGATTTGGAGTATTATGAAGCTCTAATAATAAGTCTAAAACTAATAACCTTTAAAAATAGTCTATTTTTAAGGGTAGGCTTAAAACTTTCCTTTTTGATAAAGCTTATAGTTAGAGTGGCTCAGGTTATCCTGAGCTATCTCTATAGCTATGCTACTATAGGCTTAGACTTCTGGAGGACATAGGGACCCCTATTTCATGATTCTGCTTCATTCTCTCTCTGTTCTCCTATTCTGCAGAATCTGTTCAATCTCTAACGTTCTGCTCTCTCTGCTTTTTCTCACAGTTGCTTTGCCTCATCTGATCCTGTTTGGCTGTGACACCATCCTGGAGAAAAATATCAGCTGTGCTGCTGCCATCAACAACTTTGTTTATACATGTTCGAGATCTGTCTGTTTTTCAGTGTAGTCCTGTTTCTCTGACTGCGACTGGCTGTATGTGCTCTCTTCATCCTCTGACATGGGAGTTGACTCAGAGCTCGTCTGCCTGGCTGTGTGTTTCCTGGATTGGGCCACCTTTTACAGTTGCTTATTGTATCTCTGCTTCTGTCTCCTTGAACCCCAGTCAGCCTCAGCAGATGGCTGCTCACACTGAGTCTGGTTCTGCTAGAGGTTTCTTCCTGTTAAAAGGGAGTTTTTCCTCTGTGTGAGATCCCCTTGCAACATGCAATCCCTCACTTGTGAGGAATCAACTGGTTTTCCTTATATAGAAAGCTTTGAATCAATATGACTGTATGATCTGGTGAACTGTAAAGTGCCTTGAGATGACGTGTGTTGTGAATTGGCGCTATATAAATAAACTGAATTGAATTGAATTAATAAACTGTATCAAACCAAACCAACATTAAAACACCAAATTGACCTAAAATACTGGAAAAAAGGTAGGCCCATAAATATATAATACAAAATAACTGTGCTTTGTAGTCACTGTGGTTTTGGTTTTCATTCAATTGCATTTATTTTCAGCCATTCTGTTGCATTAATCTAGATTAGAAGTGATTGTAAAATGCGGTTATCATTTTTATTTAGTATATTTGAAAAAGCAGGTGCAAAGTTGCAAGATTTCTGCTGTTGTTGCGGTCACAAAGGGGCATTTGTACAAACAGAGGATGGAAAGAGTGTCTGTGTTTACAGAAATATGGGAAGGTCAGACATAGGAATGGTAGAATAATATACCGTAAGGTGGGAAAAAGACATGAACAAATAACATTTCTGCAATTAAACTAAAATGAAAACTGTCACAACTTAACTGAAGTATTGCTGCATATTCATGAACAAAAATAAATTTGACTTCAACAGCCACCAGAAAAAAACAAGAGAATAGTAAAACCATCATGGAGCCTTTAAAGGGACATTATGGATGCACCAGCTGCTTCGGATGTGATGCATTTAACTTCAAGACAGATTATATTTCCTCCCCTATGCATTTCTTACAGGCTTTGCATGAAACACAGTTATGCTTTTCTACTCTAAAAGGATTTGTATTTTGTGTTATAATGATTATAACCATCATTACCTCCTGCTTCATGGCTTAAAATTTATCTTCAGTCACAAACATGTATGTTTTATCCATTGCCAATGCAGCTTTATTTACTTTTTTGCTTGTTCAATTGAGGGCTCCTTATTTGGAATCTTTGAAGATCAAGCTCTAAGAGTATTCATAATTGTTGATCTTATGTCTCAATTTCTATAAGTCATCCATCATGCCAAGTAAAAATAATACTTTTTTGTTGGTTCTCTTGTTTCATGAATTCTGGTAGGTTATTTTTATTTCTTTTTCAAACAAATATATATAAAAGTTCATTCTCACCGAAACGTTTTTACAGATCTTCTGATATGAGAGCAGACTGTGATCTGGGCTCAGGTTAAAAGAATACTCCACTTTGCCTTTTCTTCCTTCTTCTCTTTCTCCGCTTTTTGTCAGAGCTTGAAGAAGATGCTCAACATATTTCTCTCTTATGACACCCAAATCATTGGCTTCTCTTGTCACCTCATCCTCTGAAACTGACAAAACAGTCCCCGATCAAACAAATAATCTCTCATGAAAGGTTATTTTCTTTCATGCTGCAATTATTTCATAAACACATGGAATTGAAGCATGCATCTCAGGGTTGACAGAAGCTCGCAGAACAAAACTACAAACATTAATTAAGCAGTAACACAAGAGTACATGTGAAAGCAGGGTTTTAAAGAAAGCATGCAGAGAAACCAGGGGCGATGTCATCAGCTGTTGCACAGCTGTTAACACTGGTTGGAAGGTCCCAATTAGCACATCAAACGCTGAAACACCGACAACCAAGGGGGCCACACATAACTGTTACAATCCCATCTCTACCTGTCAGCTCTACAGATGCACAGCAAGGGAACTACCGACAGTTATGTTCCAGGTGTCTAAAGAGAACACATTGTCCTGTGCAGATGTAACTACCGACCCAAATGGATGTGAAAACACACATATCCTTGTATGCACACATACTCACATGGAGAGTGGTTTGCATCGACAAAGAAGAGCCTTATACATTTTAATATAGTTTCCACACCTGTAAGCTGCAGTGAATAGGAGTAAATAAGAATAATGAAACAAGGTCCCTGCTGTCCCACAAGTTAAAGAATCAGAACAGTCATAACATTATTACCAGGGGTCAGCCAGGTGCATGTAAGCTGCGGACAGCTCAATGAATAGTGCACCTGGTGACAAAGTAGTCAACCCACCAGTCAAAGAAAGCCCATATTTTCTACTACTAAGTCCTTTAACTTTATATTTGTAAATATTATGAATACAGCTTTCAAATGTGAAATCCTTACCCTCTCCAATCCATGCCGAGCTTCCATCAGTGAGAGCTAGTGTGAAGCCCGCACCAAGATCCACAGCCCAGTCAACTCTCAGGAAGTAGGGGGTGCCTGGATTCAGAGATATCTGCTGAATTGTGCCGCTCATGTCTCCTGTATAACCTTAATGCCTGCAGAAAATTATAAACAATATTTTACAAATCCAAACACAACTCATATAACTTCAGTACATTCAAATACAAACGTTCTTCTCCTCAGCAAAACCTTCCCTCCGGTTTTTGGGTATCTAAAGGCATTCTAATGCCACAAGAGATTTCAAGTCCCTCCAGGGGATTATTCTAGTGGGACATGTGAGAAAACCCCTAAAGGGCATTCTGATAACATCATCAACAAAAAAACCCTACAGAAATGACTTTTGGTAACAACTCAAGGTGGTTCTACTCTAAGCTCTTCTTAGTTGATTGAGCTCTACTTGGTTTCTCTAAGACTAAGTCCAGCCACCTTATAGTGAGCTCAATTCACTGCTTGTGTCGGGGGGACTTTCTTCTTTCTATTATGATTTTTATCTCATTGCCAGAGCTTAAAGTCATAGATGGGCCAGTAAATTGAAAGCTTTCCTCTTTTCTTAAGACAGACCAAAACACCTTTCACCATGGCAAACAAAGTCATCCTACTATCACCAGTGGAAAATACACCAACATACTTAAAGGGAAATGCAGTTTTTTTTACATTGGGTACTTGATCTTACATTATTACGTCATGTTCTACTCACCCATATGAGTTTTGTGTCATTTGGAGCTGTTCTGAAGATATTCGGTTAGGTTATATCCAAGTAATGTCTTCCTATGGGCAAACGACTTGAAGGCACAAACGGAATATCTTCAGAACAGCTCAAAATGACAAAACTCATATGGGTGAGTAGAACATGATGTAATAACGTCAAGAGACCAATGTAAAAAAAAAAATGGCGTTTCCCTTTAAAATCCTCCACCTGAGGCAAAAAATGACCCCAATCCATAGAGCAAACACCTGTTTTGATGAAATGCATATTAGAAATGTACGGTAAACAGATATTTTCCAGACCAATCAGAGCAGGGCATCTTCCAAATGTCAAAAAAACAACAACCAAATGATGGACCATCAGTCTAGGACAATGCTGGCAGGCTGGTAAGATAGGCTGTGCATGCTATTTTCTAGTTACATAAACTAGCTTTCTAAAAGAAACATGTGGCCATGTTTCGAAACAAATGGCATTACTGCAAATGTATAAAACAACCACCTTTGTCTCTCATGCGGTCAGCCTCTTGTTGGTCTATTGCTCAAATTGTGCATTTGAAGCTAGTATAACAAAAACACCTAAGAATACTGTAGGTCTTTTTTTTTTATCTGTTAAATGTATCAAAGTGCTTCATTGTTTTACTTCTTGGAACTGGTGCGTAAAGCCCCTTGCGTGTATCTTCAGTGGGGTCTCTGAGTCAGTGGAACCACACAGAGATGAAATGGTTTTGGCTAGTTTTTTTACTCCTCTTTTGTTGGACTATTTGCTGTGTTTTACCAGCAAGATAATTACACGCTTTTAATACAGGAGTACCGAATCTCGTATGCTGATACTCTAAATGCACTAAAGCGTTCAGTGTTAATCTGTTGTAACTTTTCACTCCCAGTTATCCAAACTGCATCCAAAACATGTAGACATCAAAACTTGAGGCATGTCACCATTTATTCTAAGCTGTCTGAGGAAAATAGATAAATAAATAAAAAAATTTATTAGATAAAACACAATGAAATGGCAGCTACATCTTATTTTTGGAAAGTTTTGATGCATTGTCTAAAAACCCTATTTAAGTCTTTACTGCCTCTCTCCCACACCTCCAGTTAAAGCGAGGGCTACAGCTGTGTTTTTACAGCTAGCAGGCCTAATCTGACTGGAGGGTTACAGTAAAATCTGAGTTTGTGGACAAAAGGCAATCTAGTTGACTGGCTACACTGTTTTATTCATAACAAACTTTTTGAAAAACTTTTACTTTGTTATAAATGGTCAGTCCTAAATATGTGATTAGTGCCTCCACAACAGGCGAGCAGTGATTCAGATGACTTCCCTTCTTAAACACAGAGCAAAGAGTGTGGAAAGGGAAGGAAAAGGGTAGCTAAATTAGCAGTTAGGAAAGCTAAAAATGACAATTGCTGTGTCCAATTTCAGGGACTGCAACCCTCGAGGGCTATTTCCCTCAAAGGCGGATTATGATACAACTGGGAAGAAATAAGACTGTCCAAAATCGAAAGCTTTTCAAATTTCAGCTGATAATAATACATTTGTCCTTTTTTCCAAATTTGAAGGATTAGACCTTTGTACCATTTGGGACCCATCCTTTTTCACCCTTGTTGTTCTGATCTGTCCCTTTCTTATGAATATTTATGTGCATGTAATAAGTGTCGATCCACTCTATAATGTAGTACAAACTAATGCAGGAAAACATTATTCAACTCATAATTTTGCAAGCTAATAAAGAGTGAAATGTCAGACCAAACCAGGGCCCTCCCCTCCATTTCTTTCCCTTCTAGTTGTAAAGGCATCTGAGGGTATGTTAACGATAATTACACAGCTACTGGAACCAGACTAAAGCTAACAATTAAGGCAGAAACAAATGAAAACCCTTAGCTTCTTACCCTGCAGGTGTAATTTATCACCAAAGACAATTATCAAAAAGACAGAAATTGTATATGGCTGCTGTTAAACACATTTGCATTATAAAATGCTTGTTTACACAGTCAACAATGCTGTTTTGAAACATATTATTTCATATTTCTTTCTCCTTCGGCAGTAACATTTCACTGTATCAACAAATTGATAAATGATGACCTTGATGGCACACTACAGATTTTTTTTTTTTTATAAAAATGGAATAGCTTTAATAAAACTAAATCAAAAGTAATTGTTTAAAGGACATAGGCACTTTTACTAAGTGTTAATTCATTTACTTTTTGGCCAAACGGGAAAACAAAACTTTTATATTATATATATTTATTGATTCTGTCTCCTTAAAACCCCATTTTGCCAAGCAGATGGCCACTCACACAGAGACTGGTTCTGCTGGAGGTTTCTTCCTGTTAAAAGGGAGGTTTTCTTTCTCCACTGTTGCTGCATGCATGCTCAGTGCATTGCTGAAGAGTCAACTAGATTATGCAAGCAGATGTCTATTGTTGCCTTGTGCTCATCCCAGAGCAGGGAATCCTGCAAAGTCCATGGCCCAATTCCAAACTTCCCCCGAGCACTAAAGCTTAACTATCAAATGTCACTCCCACTGAAGTCCCACTTGCAGCTGTGGAAGATGCCTTGATTGAAGGTGAGTGGGTATAAATGAGTTGGGGATGTACTGAAAGACTGGATGAAATTTGGTTCCTTAGAATGAAGACGTTTGATTAATCTGTATGACCTTGTTTAATTTCCTCTGGAAAGTGCCTTGAAATCAACTGTGTTGTGAACTGGCACTAAATAAATTAACTGAATTGAACCTTAATTGAAATATAATAGGGCTGAATTAGGACTAAATTGCAATCTTGTGATTTTATTTCGATTTTCATTTGCACTAACATTAAGCATATGTTTCAACTCAGGTTTTCATTGTTTTTATGACCCTGAAAGCCTGCTTGTCCAGAACTCCATTTTTGCAGGACTTTACTTTTATTGTTGAATGAATGTATGAATAAGTGGTTACTTCTACTCTCATGCATGGATCATCACGCTAGCTAAAAAAGGTGCTCCAAGGAAAACTTCGAACACTTCGCCTATCAGTGGTCATTATTTTGAGGCTGATCCCTCTATATGGAATATGAATTATTTCATTCAAATTATTTTCTTTTTGCCAATACTCCATAGGTTCCATCTTTTGACCATATACTCACCCACTCCCATCCAACTCTGCAAGGATAAAGCCAAGTGATGGGTCAATGAAACTCTTTTGTTTTACCCCAAATGTCACTTAATTAAAATACTTGATTTACTTGACTCAAATTTTAAAAAATGATTAAATGGTTTTTGATTATTCTTTTTAACCCACTTTTGTTAAATTCCAAATTAGATATTAGGCACTTGAAGCCTTTTTATTTGGGTTCACAACCTTGCACAATATCTTTGAACAAAAACAAAAACCAGCCAAATCTCTCAGACCTGGATCAATGCACATCAAGGCCTGGGTAAGGCTACTAAATCAAAACATGCTGAATCAAACCACTATAGATCCATAATTCCTCCCCTTCATCCCTCAAGTAAGCAAATCAATCAGTCATCAGTTGACATCAACCAACTCCTTCCTGATCAGCCTGTTTTCTCCCCTCAGACCAACCAGAAAGTTCAACCGACTGCCTGCAGTTCTCCGCTTCCAGATTCTTGTTGCATCTATCAATAAACAATAAAATGAACTGTTTCTCCATGTGATTCTGCATTTGGGTCAAAAAGCTACAAACCAACATGACTAATACATCCTATGTCATGTCTTCGGTCATACACAGTAAAATAGCGTGGGCCACAAGGTCATTCAGAGTGACATGGGCTGAAAAAAGTGGCAACATAAAAGTAACAAGGAACTTCCTCCATTAACACACACATCACCATCCTGAGTACATTTAAAAATGAAACATGGAGCAGATTATGCATGACCCTTTGTGCTTTAAGAAAGGGTGTTGCTAAATGAATGAAGTTGCTGAAGGCATCAACTTTGACCTCATAAAGTGAACCCAGCTACTCATTAGTTACTGTAACATCTGTTGCTAGGGAGCGATGACCCGATGGTAATGACAGATGAACACTTTAATTAAATAAATGGCACTGTCTGTCTTTGTGGGATAGATACCCAAGCAGAACCATCAAAGCCAATTCTTTAGTCTAACTGACAGCATCTCTTTACATACTCAACCTTCTGATACAAACTCTGGAGCCAATAAATAATCAGCAAGAGACTACTGTGACACATAGCTTTGATGATATGCTTCTTATACTCTTACTTACACGGTTAGAATTTTTAAAAACTGTATAGACTTATTTATCTCTGTAATCTAAACTGTTTTGATATAAATCTTCAATAAAACATTAATTGCATTGTCGCTTTTTGGTTTTTACTTAACTCAATTCCTGTTAAAATATAATTCAAATGAAAAGAAAGTAGCATTTATTTTACTATGTTTAGTGAAGAATTACAGCAGTTTGGCCCAAAAAAACAACACAGGGAAATTCATCTTTAATTATTTGTTCCTTTTAGACCTTATAAACAGTATAAACTTGAATGCAAAAGTGAAAATTAAAACTTTTTTTAAAAATATGTTAGCATTATGTCATGCCATTAGCTACATTTAACAACTGTTATTTCTAATAGCCACTATCCCAGTTCTTTCTTTTCAGTAAAAGAATTGATCAGAATCGGAAAAATGAATCATTTTTATCTTTTACCGCTGAACCCAAACGGTACATTATTATAATTCTTTTTTGATGTAAAGCATGATCTTTCTAAACTTTTTGGATCTTTCTGTGTTTTTCTGTTCAAAATGACAATTTATGCTATCTAAAGCCGGGCATATACTGTACGATTTTTGGACTTTCCGCCTGATCGTGCGTCTTGTATTATACAGGGGGTAACGAGGCGCAATTAGCCTCTCATGACCAAAGAGAAAATCAAACATGTTTGAAATTCAGATGGCTGTCGTAAGATCGCGTCTGAGTTATGTTTTTGGCCTTTAAACTAGTGTTTCATTCCCCTCTCCCTTCTGCTCTGACTGTTCATTTGGCCCTCCTGTGCTGCTACTTCTTAGCCTAATTACCACTGATTCCTTTCACCTGTTTGCCAGCCTTCTTAAGCAGGCCTCTTACTAGTTGACAGTGCCAGATTGCCTTAAAGCCTTGGTTACTAAACATCTAGCATTTTTCTCTGTTTACTTGATCTTTACCTGTTTCTGCCTCCTGATTTTTGAGCCTGCCTAGGGTGCCCCTGTTAGATCTGTTTTTGTGCCGCCTGGATCCCTGTTTCTGTGCCCTGACTTTCCAAGACACCCCGCATGGATATTAAAGAAGGTTAGTGGCTTAGCAGTCTGAACTTTTAATCATCCATCTCAGCCACTAACCTGTTCTCTACCCTCCAGAGGCTCTGGCCCCCCTGATCCTGAATTATCTGCAGAGTTTCTTTAATAAATCTTTTAAAGGATTTTCCCATTGTGTTCTGGTTGTATCTGGGTCCTCAGTCTGAATCCTAACAGCACAGTGTGAGAACGTGCATCCTGAGCTGTGAGCTTTTAAACCCTGCAGTTTCATCGTACAGTTGATCTGTCCCTGCATGCAATGATTGAAAATATCGCAGTGTATGATTGGCTTAACAAAAGGCTGTTTCATACCAATCATGTATTGGTTTATAACCCCCCAGGGGAGACTTCTGCATCCATATTGTCAGCAGATTATTTCAAGTCATCTTTAATTTACAAATGGTTTACAAAAAATAAAGGTTTCCAGTGAACACCATTTACTTACTGGGAGTCAATTTTATATTGGATTGATCAAGGGTCTAAAACAAATTTTTAATCATTGACACAGTTTTACATTTGCTGACTGTTTTTCAACATATTTAATGTAACCTCAAAAGAGGGAACTGCTCTCTTTTAAGATTGCCTCAAGCAGAAGACTTAAAGTATGTAGGTGTTTTGTTCATGGGTGACACTAGATGGAGTGCTGTGTACTTGGACTATACATAGTATAATCTGAATTAATATTGGCGATGCCTCAGGTTCTTGATAAACAAGCTCAGGATTTACCCATATATATATATATATATATTTATTTATTGTACGGCCAATGTTTTAGACTAGAACAACCAACAATGGCTAAAATTACCTCCCTGGCTACAGAGGCTGGGCTCAGCCAGAGTGAGGAGGGAAAGCTCCGTCATCTAGTAGGAGGTTGGTGTAGTGGAGGCACTGCCAGGTAAAGCAATGCAATTCCTCAGAACAATATGGAGTTTGTTTCTATCATACAGAAAGACAGACAAGAAAAAAAGGACTATATAAACTGCTCTGGAATGGTGAAGTACACTGGTACTAACAGGCTTGTTTACAGTTACAAAATGGAGTGTTGTTGGAGCAAAATGGGCAACAAATTGATCCTAAATGTAGAAAAAAATGCTACTTCACTACTTAGCACGTAACTTCCAGCATCTAAGATCAGCAAGACTTTAAGTACCTCTCAGCCCCTACGAAGCAATGTCAGTCATAACTGCTTTGATGTATGTGTTTCCAAGACAGCTGCATGCATTACCAGTTACCATTAGGAAAGAGAGGTTATACTGTGTGATAAAACTGCAGTATACAAACACATATAGGTCTAAAGCATGCACTACATATACTATGACTGCTTTGGACCTTGATATGACAACAATGCTATGACGAACAGCAGTCAGTGTGCTGTAAACTATAAAACGGAATCACTTTATAAGGAATGTGAGCCTGTTTACACTGTAATCCCTACAGTGAAATATCTAAAACATTATTTATGTGTGGTTTACAGAGTGACAGAGTTTCTTGCGCGTGAAGTGCACTCTAGGAGTGTCTGGGAAGGAAATGTCAAATGGGATTTACAAAACACATCTTAAATGTAATCAAGATGGTGTGTGGCTTGTTTAAGGGAGGAGACTTTATTGTGAAAATGTTGAGCGAAAAGTCGACCGCAAAAATCTATCTTTACGTCATCATGAGACAATAGCACGGAAACCTTTCTTTTTCCCGGAGCAGAATATCATGGCTAATGTAGTTTTAATTGAATGATATTAAAGTGTAAATAAATGGATTTGAAACTTAAGCTGATGGATACTAGTTCCTATAAGAAATAACTAGATTTATGGGGAAGAACTATACATTTTAAACATACAACATCCTCAAAATTTTGTTTTGGCTAACTCAATAGTAATACTTTAATAATTCGATTTTTTCTTTTAGTTAAGTTTAGTTTAGTTGGACAGAATGAAAAACTGTGCAGTTACCAAACGGTTCACATGTTAAATGAAAGTATACCTAGATGACCTAATGAACAATAAACTCAGGTCACAGACACAGGTTTCTTAAAGTATTCACACCTTTTGCACTTTTTACATTTCATTACATTACAACTAAATAACTGCATTGTATTAAAACACAATGTACATATAAATGGATTTTTCATTTTTGTTGTGCAAAGAAGGATTCTCCAAAAAATAAAAAACATTAAAAACAACCATAACAAACGTTGTCATACCACGACAGCATCTTCAGACTGAGACTTTTTCTAAAGTTCGAACAACTCTGAAAAGTTTTTTTTTGTCTCTGTATGTGGAGTTAAATTCTGGAACAGTCTGAGTTCACAACATATACAATGCAAAAATATTCAAAGATGTAAAATCCTATTCAGTCAATTTGGTCACAGTGTTTTCAGAGAGGGTCTTAAATGTACATTAGTGTCTATTGATGTGTGCTTGTTGTTCTTTTATCATTGATGGTACCTATCCATTACCATGTTTGTTTGTTTTTTTTTTGTTTTTTACCATGAATGAGCACTTGGATGGGATTTTAACAACTTTTTTTTTTTATCCCACTCCCTATCAGGCCTTGTTTTTTGTTTTTGTTGTTACTTATATTATGACTCCCAAGTTTAAATTGACTAACTAGCATTCACTTGTGTGTTCCAATGTATGTAATTGCCTGAAATGAATAATAATAATAAAAAAAAATTATCCTGATCACTACAGGCGATCCTTCCTAACTTCGTCATCATAATTTACAACATCTTAATCCTTTGTGGAAATTTGTATGACAAGAGTTAAGACAATATTTAGGGATTAATGCTGTATCAATTAATTTGTTGTCCTATAGCAGGCATGATTAAGGGAATAATGAAGGGACTAAACATAGGGTAATCCTAGAAAAAAAACAAGACAGAAAAAGAAACTGCAAGACTAGGACAGATTTTTTTTTTCCAGATTAAACCAGATTTGAAGGTTAGAATGGTTCAGTTAAATAAATCCAGACCTAAATCCATTGTACATTATGTAGAAAGACTTTAGTTCTGCCCCTGAATGTCCAATGTGTGCCTAGAAATACATAAAAAGACCTGCAATTGCAAATGCACTGAAATGTGCATGTGTTGCACACGTGGTAGATTTTAATAATAAATCAAAACTATGCATCATATCAACTTCTGCTTCATAATAATGCTCTATGTTGTGATGGGCTATCATGCAAAACAGAACTGCATGACTTTTTTATCTTTTAAGACTGAAAAGTACTCATAATGTAAAAAAAAAAAAAAAACTTCAAGGTTCTACTTCTACTTTATCACGGGATTTATCAGTGCACGACAGAAAGCACACAGTACATTATTAGTACTTCATGGTGCAGGAAAAGCAATAACAAGATTCAAAGTTTCTGCTGCACTTTTCTGGTGTTCTTTTCTTTGACCAAAAAAACCCTCATGTATTATAAACAGAGGACAGGAAATGAACCCCAGCTCAGAAAAAAGTCAAAGAACAAAAACTTAAGGGTACAAGTTAATTGTTGAGGGGTGCAACTGCTGTAAGATGAAATAAAACTGTAGATGATCTTTGCACTCACATTGACAGCTCGGTTTCCCCCTTCAACGGCTTGTCGTCTGTCGAATTGTTTTTAACCAATCAGCAAACAGCCTCAGCGCGTCTCAGTACGTCATTACGTATGGTACGTGTTAACCAAAGACGTTACGTTAATTCCAAAGGACAGGAAGTGTGATGTGGCTTTGATTGCTATCAATAATGGTAAGTTTGTTTTATTTTGCTCAGCTACATTTATGCTATATATCGAATTTGTATATTTGATAGAGACAGTCTTCTTGTGGTATATGCCATTGGAGGCTGCGTGACTTGCTGCTGGCAGGTTTACTCAGATTTAGCATATGTTAGCTGAACAAACTGGCTAGCTAAGATAGGCTAAAAGTTTAGCTAACTGCGTTTTGATGTTTTCGAAAACGGACACATTGCGAACGGAACTTTGTGTCATGCAAGCGGGGTTTTGTATCGCCAGGAATTTGCTTAATAACACATAACTGTGTTGGAGTTAAGTATGTCGAAAGCAAATGTTTTCAAAGTGTGCCACGTAGCTGGACCCTTAATATAGCTCCTCTAGGTGCATATGGTTTAACAGCAGGGCGGTCTGTTAGGAACCAAACACACCTATTTCCCTGCATATTAGCCAGATATTAGTTTTAGTTGGATCAGCCCAGGAGCTTTACTGTTTGAATTCATTACCATTATTATAATAAGTAAATTGAAAGATAATATATATATTGTAATGGCAATAAGGATACAATAAATGTATTTAACTTTCTTATTAATGCCCTATCTTAACACCATACATGTTTTAAATCTTAATAAAGAAGTGTTATATTATACCAGCTAAACGTGTCGGTTGCAAAAAGTAAATAATTTGAGTGGTTAAAATTAAAACTTGTGACTAAGATGTCAGGAAAAAAAAACGTTTAACAGAAAGTGGTATTGCTATAAAGTATTCAATAAGGATCTTTAAGTGATGTACTCATTTTAAAGATTAAAAATCCGCACCAAATGTTATTCATTTAAGTTGTCACATTAATTTATACTAAATGTGACATTTTTCACAATTCACATTTTTTTCTTTTCAAAAATAAAGCATTATACTTGTAGCCTAGAATAAAGATTGCAAGTATTTCCAGTTTAATATAACAGACTTTGTTGTAGCCAGCACATCATGTGCACCTATCAAATAAGCTAAGCTTTTTATTTGTTTGTCTAACGGTACTCAAACTAAATTTAACAATGCACTAAATAATTATTTTTATTGGATTTACCTGTGGTGATTCAGCATTTAGCCAGCTAAGATAAAAAAAAATAAAAAAAACAAGAAAATTCACGAAATTTTGCCATATTTTTATATGTTGATATATTGACGCGGTATCGATCTATTTTACTAACAAAATCTCACAAGAATTTGTTAAATATCACGAGAGTTTGTAACAGAACGATGAAATTTCATGAGATTTTGAAAGTAAAATCAGGTCAGCTGAAAACCTGAATATGGGGTTAATCGGGCTCAAATTAGGGAAGAGGGGTTGAGGGAGCGTCATTTCACACATGGAGAAGGCTTTATGCAGCAGTCAGACTACATTCACCAATGCAAGATTTTGGTGAAAATTTAATGCAACACTGAGTCGAAATAAATATTTTGACATGGCAGAAGCTTATTGAAAATTGTTTGGCAATTGTGCCCCATGATCAAAGTGTTTAGTACAAAAAATAATCCCCTGTATTAACTGATTACTTCTTTTAATTCAGTGGTATTAATGTTAACATCAGGCATAAATAAAATCATGTTTTGCAGCTTTCTCATTTAACAGGATAGTTTAGAATTCTTCTTTAAATGAGGGCAATACGTGATTATTTCCATTGATGCAAAATGCTAGCACTAAAGTTCTTGCTGTTTGTCGATGCGTAAAAAAGACCATTTCCAGTTTTTGATGCATATCTCTTTTCTACTTTTTTTGTTTTTTTGCAGTCGGCCATTTTCAACTTCCAGTCACTGCTAACGGTGATTCTCCTTCTGATTTGTACCTGTGCCTATATCAGAGCGCTGGCTCCCAGCCTTTTGGACAAGAATAAAACTGGGTATGTTCTTACACAGATTTAAAAATGAAATATATATATTTTATTTATTTTCATATATATATATATATATATATATGATGTAAAGCGGAGAAAAATGTATTCTGCTTTTTAACTCAACCGTGATTTTATCAAACTGCATAATTAGCACACTGTTTTAAGGTATATCATTTTTTATTAGTATTTCTGGTAGAATAAGATATTTTAACCATTAAAATCCTTTCCTTTGATTGATGTTCAAACTTTTAAAGTTCACTTAGCCAATAAACCTGGTACAGTCCATTAACAGCCATGGCTAAACCCATTCACTGACTCGCACATAATTTCCCTAGACCAGTGTTTTTCGACCCTGGTTAATTCAAGCAGACTGTTCTGTATTCATTCACTTGATTTTAGGTGAATGCAGTTAATCAGCCACTAGTGGAAATCGGCAGAGAAACATTCAGGGCAGCATATCTTGAGGACCAGGGTTGAAAAGCACTGCTATAAATGGCGGTAAGAGCAGCAGATGTAGAGATTAATTAGATGTGCAAAACAAATTGTAGATTTAATGCTAACCTCTGAGTCATGGAGATGCTCTGAATCTTTTTATTATTTTCACATAGAAATATTGTGCGAGTATATATTTGTTCAATAGAGCTAGCTTGGGGTAATGGTGGTTTAATGGGAAAGGTATTCCTCTTGTAATACATAGCTTTAAGATTCCTTCTTTCCATTCATATAACATTTTAATAGATACTATAGAGCTCTGTCAATCAAGACTCTTGGTTGAGTTTTAATATTTTCTTTATTACAGCTGATAGCCATTCTGGGACACTTGGGAGCTGGAACTTACCAGCAACTCCCCTTCAGGTGTTTAACATAATCTAAAAACATATTTTAACTCTGCCTGAAGTCACTTTTAGTACAATTACTCTTTGAATTTCTCCATAAAGCTGAAATATAACAAATCCAACACAAAATACTGTCTTCTTTTCTTGGATGGCATTGTTAGTATAAGCAGTCACTACATCAGACTCCTTTAATTCATAGTGCTTCCTTTTCATGGTCATTCACTACTGTACCTCCTAAATATTTATCCAACTCTCTACCTCCCTCACCAATACATACATTAAATACCCTTTTTTTCATCACTCTTTGCTGCGGTTGCCATGGCAATTATTAAAAAACAATGATCAGCTAGCTCATTTAAATGCCCATTGACAGATGCTTTTCATGGACCATTTATTGTTAAATCGTGGTAAACCTTGTACACAAACTTCGAGGTTTGTGTCGAGCTGGGATTTAATTATTTTTTATTTTTCATAAAGCGAAATTGGTGTGATTTATAAATGAGCAACTTCCAAATCGATTTGGATAGAAGAATAAAAAAGTTAAATACAATATTTCCTGTTTAGGTTAATGCAATTTTGATTAATTTATTGTTTTGGGGTTATATTTACTTTGACTTGTTCTAAAGATTTCTGGGGTTTGTTTCAAAGCAAACTTATCCATATTAAAGTAAGGTTCAGAATGTTTGTTTTTCTGTTAATGATATTTTTCTTGTTTCTTTTAGACTACTAGGAATTTTCTGGAAATGTGCCAGGATAGGTAAGCCCATTGACATATTCTATACATATATCTCTATTAATGTATTTGGATAAGTTGGTTCAAAATATTAAACACATTTTTGATCATTTAAAAACAGAGTGTTTATGGTATTCAGTTTTTAAGCATCATTGTGTAACTTTTGACCAAAGTATTGGCATCATTTGAAATGTTTCTTTGGGCCAATATACAGTACTTCCATACTCCATGCAAGCTGCTTTTTTTTTAAATTAGCAGTCTAAGCTCAAACTAAAACTAACTAAGTTAAAGGTTGTGGAGCGGCAGTAAAACAGATAAGACATGTTTATGGTTCTCTGATTTAGGATTTTATCTAGAAGGCTGAACATTTGGCCTTGTCGTTACAAATAACTCCATAACTTCTCAATCTGCTGGTCTAACATGGTCTGCTATCAGCTTCCAAACAATAGAGGCAGACTCTTCAATTTATAATAGCCACTTGGGCCAGATCCTCCGGGGGAATCCCAAGTTGCTCCCAAGCCAGCCTCCTCCCAGTGGGACGTGCCTGGAACACCTCACCAGGGAGACGTCCAGGAGGCATCCTAATCAGATGCCCGAGCCATCTCAACTAGCTCCTCTCGATGTGGAGGAGCAGTGGCTCTACTCTAAGTCTCTATGGGAGAGCCCAGACACACTACGGAGACAAATCATTTCAGCCGCTTGTATCCGGGATCTCATTCTCTCGCTCATGACCCAAAGCTCATGACCATAGATGAGGGTAGGAACGTAGATCGACCGGTAAATCGAGAGCTTTGCTTTTTGGCTCAGCTCTTTCTTCCCCACAACAGACTGGTACAGGGCCCGGTTCACAGCAGATGCCGCACCAATCCACCTATCAATCTCCCGCTCCATCTTCCCCTCATTCGTGAACAAGTGAAACAATATCCCAAAAATCTAGCTGTACTTTATTGATCTCACATTGGATGAAATTTTGTGGTGGGGCTCGAACTCAGAACTTCAGGATTCCAAACTCTATGCCCTAATCACAAGGCCCCCGCCGCATCCTGCTTGTTTTTATTTGCATGCAAATAAAGGGGGAGTGTTGGCCTAATGGTTACAGCAGTGCGCCTGTGCTCTAAGAAGGTTGCAAGTACCCGGTTTGATCCCCACAGACTGTTACTCTCGCAAAACCCTTAACCCCACACTGCTCCCTGGGCGCCGGACAATGGAAACCCACCAGTGCTTCACCTATACTTCTAAATGAGTGGTTATGTTGCTCTCACAGAGGAATGTCACATCCTGGCTCCTTGAAGTGCATGAACTAAGACCTTAAAATCAACCAAGTGTATCCCTTTAATGTCTTTCTGTTGACATAGCCTTACCTTTATTGCTTAGCAATCAGCTTTAGTTGAGAAGTCGCTGCTGTTACGCATTGCATTTACATGTAATGCTTTTTTACTTACATTTTTTATTTTTCGCTCTCTTCAGGTGAGAGGAAGAGTCCCTGGGTGGCTTGCTGCTGTGTCATCATGGCTTTCAGTATACTTTTTCTACAGTAAAACAGCATCCTCTGCATCTACAAACAGAACATTGAAGACATGGACAGAAAATGCGGCTTGGACTGATCCTACAAGGGACCTCCATTGGGTATCGCTTAGATATTGTGTTGAAACGACAATAAAACAAAACAATGGAGCCTAATTTTAACATGTCTTTGCCATGGAGACACAAATGTGTCTGTGATAGAATGAGGCGCTGATAGTCCTGGTCTGTCTAACCTCCCACCTAGAGCTTTGGATCTGGGTCTGTGCGTCAGAAATGGATGCTGCTCCAGATCCATGGGCATTTTGGAAAAATTGGGAATTAAGAGGCTCATTGTTTCTTTTATGAAATGTTTGTAGAAATAATTGAATTCACGAAAAAAAAAATTGGATTTTTTTTTTTTTTTTTAATAACAGTCATGAAATGAAATTCACCACAAAAAATGAGCCGTTTTTCAAAGAGCTTGTTTGGAACCTGGTGCAGCCTGATGTGTTCAATGTAAATCCCATTTAACTCCAAATTGTTTCTGTTGCTTTAAGATGTCAAGTTTCTAATTGCCTCTAAAAGCTATGCTTTTGTTTTGGATAACACACTCAGACTTGAACTATTTATAAAACAAAAAAAACCTGTTGATTTTTGTTTTGTTTTTTATCAGTATTTTCTGTTAATATCCTGGTTATACTCATAATTGCATACAGCAAAGCATATTTCATACTTTAGAAAGGAAAACTACATTTGCAATAAATCTTTAACTCTTTATGAAATGAGTAGTTTGTAAGACATCACCGTACAAACAGCACAGTTTTACTGGTGCTGAGTGGTTTAGATTATAAATGCAGTCCTCCAGAGTGTAGACTATTGAATTCCCTGTAATCTAGAAGTTAACCCTCATGTTTACAAGGTTCACTATAGGACAAGGAAAAAATATCCATTCCATGACATTAAGAAAGCCTGTCAAGATATCATTCATACCAGGGAAACCTTGAAGCTATGTTTACAAACTCTTAGAAATGATATGTTGCTGCTTATTTATGTTTGGGGTTTTTTATGGACAGCTGTAGGATTACACACATTTCTTCTTGCTTTGACAAAGTGATGAAAAGTGGAACATGCCAGCTGAATTCTTTGGTAGCACAGTTTATCTGGAGATGGTAAATGGTGTCGCACTGCTTTGTCTTGACCAAGGGTCTGCAACCTTTTTAATTGGAAGAGCCATCCTTGCCCTTAGTTCAGCTAACACTTACTTTATAAAGGACATATTAGAAAAAGATGGCATAATTGTTTTAGAAATATCTACATATGAAATTCTTTTTTGAACCCCTGTTTTTGTTTTTCGAATAAAACTTTTGCTAAAACATTAGATCCATTTTTGTCCATAGGATGTTATTTGTGGAAAATGATGTTTTAAAATAAACAGTTTCCAACATTTAAAAATAGTTCTCAAAAATGTTTCTTAGTTGAATTCTGTTTTAAAAATTTTGTGAAATTCAATGAAGAAAAAAAAGCTCAAACCTGTATTTGTATCTGTATTTTATAAATAAAATAAAATAAAAAAATCTTTTAATTATTCATTTTAGTGAAAGGTATTAAGAGTCACTTGCAGCTCCAGGTTGCAGACCCCTGATCTAGACCCAAGGATCTCAAGCTGTATTACAGTTATCTCTGCCGCTGGTGATTGGGGATGCACAGATATGGAAATGTGAGATGATATACATTTTTCTGTTAAAGCCAATAACGTACAATATAGTATATATTTCCCTATGTTTTACACCTAATTGAAAAGCAACCGTACTACTGACATTGCTTGTATGCTTCAGCTATTAGAATCAAAGCGCAACAGTCCTGTTCAGCCTCACTATCAAATGTCCCCATAAAGTAGCACCAGACCAACATTTTTACCACCATGAACCTGGTGCATGAGCTGCCTTCAGTGTATTAGTTATTCCCCCTGTCTATGTACATAAATTAAACTGTCATTAAGCTACCAAGTACCTTTGCAGCGTGCTGATTATGCACACTTACTGACTTGGCACATTACTTAGCACTACAATCTAATGATGATGCTTTTCATCTCAAACTAGGTAATATGTTGAGGTTGTATATAGTAATTTTTTAGCATGTGACGGAATAGGTATAGAAATGGCCTCTGTTATTTTTAACTGTTGCCAAAGTTATGTGTGCAAAGCATTCATATTAGATTTGGAGGTTTTCTTTATACAAATTACTTATTTGTTTTAAAGATACAATCTGTTCTGCTAAATAAGTTAATTAAATTTTTTTAAATTGGAAATAACAAAAAAAAAACTAATACTAGTTTTTTGTTTTTCCTGTTAAGGTAATGCCTTACTAAACTGGTACATGTAGAAAAGAACTGTTTGCAATATGTAGTGTCATTTTGCTGCTTAATTTTTCCTCACAAGCTGAAGATTTTGTCAGGTTGGTAAAACTAATTAATCAGTCCCTCCCAGAGTGAGAATTCCAAGTAGCAACGTCTAAGACCTTTACCAGCTCAGTCTGTTTGTCCCGTGTGCCTGCCTTACATATACATATGAGAGCTGCTTTCTTTGAGATGCTGATTTGTATCCAAATGTTCCAAAAAAAAAATCATTTTTTTAACATGCAACAGTTATTGAAAGGAAAATGTCTGGAGGAATATCCTATTCACTTGTAATACTAACAATAGTTAGTCACTAAGCATAACAAATAGAAAATCCCTCTGGTTTTCTTACTTGGAACTATAGCACAGCTAAACTGGAGTTTTTTTTTTTATTATTATTATTTTGGATCTAAATTCCCTTATCAACTTCACTTTGTACAACAAGTTCTCGAAATCCTGTTTACTGCACATCTCTATTTCTCATGGGCAAAGATCATTGTGTTTAAGCAACTCCTGATTTGGCTCTTTGTACTTTTTAGCTTCATATCACAGTGAATTTTATAATATTTCCCTTGCAGATTGTTTACCGAATACCTTTTCTTCATAGTATGGTTCTTGACAGTAGAACAAGTGAATCAAATTCTGGTGGGTTCAGTTTAACCTCTAAACGATGGGCAGCCCCACACACATTGTCAGTGTGTGGGATTTATCAAAGGTCAACTCCTTATGGACAAACACTCTCTTGATAATTTGGTTCCTGATGAGCATCCAAATCCCAGCAGGTCCTCATTCCCTCCCTTGTAAGGCACTAGTTATCCGTTATGTATGTGTGGCTGTTCCGGCACACTTTAAAAGAAAAAGATAAATGATCAGGTGAAGCCTGCTTCTCAGCTTGTGATTGTCAGGCTGTGACGCAGATATAAGAGACGCAAAGGAGCAGGAAACTCGCTGTCATCTTCTATCTTAGGGACCCAAGATACTGGTAAGTTGCAAGGACATTGCTGTGTCAGTGAACTGAAGTAATGAAGGGTTGACGCTGACAAGAAAACCCTGGGAGAATTGGCACTTATCTTATGGAGATTGCAGCAACATCAGTGTTTTTAGATGGTAGAGATGGACCTTTGCCTAGATAGGCTTAGCGTCTACTTGATGTAAGTGGTTCCTTATTGTGCAAACTCAATCTAAACATAATTACTTTCGTATTTAAGACAAAAAGGTTTACACCCTGCAGCTGCTGATGCCAATTACTAAATCCATTTAAAACCGCGCCAAACATATTTAGAGAATTCTGCAGTGCTAGGTTACCATTTGTTCAGCGTCATTTACCCTCATCAGCTTTACTTCTCACCACCCTAAGGAACGATGACGTCAAACGAAAGAAAAAATAACCCCACAGTTGTTACACCATAGCTTTTCAAACAATGCTACCCTCCAGTTAGTTTTTTTTGTTTGTTTCCGACTTCAAATTATGATTTCAACCAAAGTGGCCAAATTTTAAAAACAATTTGCCCCTATACCCAATGACTGCTGTTCTAGCTGTTCTAAAACAACTGCTACTGAGCATTGATGCCAAATAGAAACTCTGGAGCAATATACATAAAAGTGTGTTTTAGCTTGAAGTCACAAAATAAGGGCTTGACATTCCTCCTCAGGATTTTCCACAGCAGAACATGATTAGTGTTTTCCTACCTAATTCTTTAGGTGTTAACGAGACAAAGCAGCACAATACTCTTACACTACAACCCACATGCTTGAGTGTTAATGTTTTATGTCAGATGTGACGGCACACAAACCTTTAAAAATACTCCACATTTGTCACTTAATTTAACAAAATATTTTCCCAAATATAATGGAAATCTTCAAAATACTCTGCAATAGTTTTGGTCAGTGTTTGCTATTTGGCCCACTCTGTATCTCTTTTTTAAATCATGAACCCTATTTTTGGGCAATTGAGGCCTTTGTTCTTTTGTGAACTTATACTTAATGTGTTTTAGAGTCACTTCAATGAGCTGCTACTCTTGTGAGAGTTCACTGCGCTTTTCAGATCTTTCAATTTACTTCATGTTCTTTGAAAGGAAATGATGAGATTTCTTATATCTAGCCATAGTCAGGTCTCAGCATATCATATGAGTTTGAATTATTTGGGGAAAAATGACCAAACACAGTTAATTCAAAATTTAAAAATTGCATGATTACTAGTTATTTGAATTGCTCTTTCAGAATTCAGAATAAGTTTATCGCCCCCAAAGGGAAATTTACCTTGCAACCTTGAGTAGAACATAAAGAAAATTCTACATCACAAATATTTTTTGATGTTAATCAATTCCTAATTTCAAATTTGATTGTTCTCTGATCTATCAGATATTGAAACCAGTTTATTCTTTGAGATGTATGTTTTACAAAAATGAATTCATGTATTTAATGTGGAGATTAAAATCTATGCATTTTACTGAATGTCAACCTGAAAAGTGAAAAAAGTGGCTTGATTGCATGAGCATGAAGATGAACATGTGCATGTTTACAATCAAGTCACTTTGAAAATATATCTAATTTAAAAATGAATCTTGCCATATGAGCACAGTCTGTTACTCTATTTCATTCTAATCCAGCCTAAATCAATGGCTCTCCTATGTTTGAATTGGTTGCATAGTTTCTCTTTTAGCAGAAATGTGTGATTTGTAAGCGCTGTTAAGGCATTGCAGCATAAATCAGATTATTCCCTTTTGTTGCACACAGCATCACTAATTTAGGTCCATTAGAGCATCCAGAACACGTTAGTATTATATTCTTGTTTCTTTGGTAAAATTAGAAGGTTTCTTCCTGATGTTTTAGGGACTTTAAAGACGATCAAGCCTTATAAAACATA